CCACTGATTCTTCTGACCTTTCACGCGGGCCGCGGGCTGGTCGCACGGAGGCCGCGGGACCTGAAGCTTGAAAATGGCAAAGAATCGGAAATCTGCGCGGGCCGCGTGAAACCCACACGATGGCCGCACAAAGTCTTACGCGGGCCGCGTGGAACCCGCACGTTGGCCGCGTGTGCTGAACAGGGTTGGAGGTGATTCTTCTACGCGGGCAAGGAATGGGCCGCACATAAGCCGCACAAGACCTTACGCGGGCCGCGTGGAATTTCACGCGGGCCGCGTGACTTCCTGCACTTCAAAATTTAAAATTTTTCTAAAAACTTGATTTTTGGCCAAAATGATTCCTGCAAAATCCCGGGTTTCAAAAACACAACAAAAGTTTGGACGAAAGGTGAGAATAAAGCTTGAAATTTTTCAAAAATGAACATTTTCAAAATCATTTTATTCGCTTTATAAAAGACGAAAGCACAATGCTTCCCAAAAATACCCTTCTTCAACGTCTTCGGCGAGACGCCTCCAAACTTCACTTTAACACTTTGGGGCGTCCAAATGGACGACATCTTGGACATTTGAATCAAAACCTTCATATAATGGCTTCAACCAATGTCCATTAACCTTGAAAACTTGCTCCGTGTCAACATTTTTTAATTTCCACATCTCCATTGGGACTCTTTTCTTGTATTTGACTTTCTTTTTACGGAAAAACCATACCGGACTTAGACCTTTGATAATAGAAAGAATCCAACCATATTCTTTCTTGTACTTGTTTAGTAAGGTGACCAACTCTTCCATATTCGACATAGCGGTCGAGTTGGTGACCGGTTGGGTGTCTTCCTTCTCGGGATATGTATCATTTAAAGGGTTCGACAGATTTATCGTTTTCGGCTCTTGTGGTTTGTCTACCACTGGAGTTAGTTTATCAATGGTAGTGGGTGGCTCAAACTCTCTTTCGTTAACCCCCAACACGTCCTCTATAGTTTCATTGACATCTTTCTCAATTTCTTCTTCCTCCTTGACAACCTCTTCCATTTCTACTCCTTCTTCCTCTTCTCCACATAACACTCTTGGGCCATCAAAACTTTTCTCATCTTTCAAAGGAATGGCACATGTGCTATGCCTTGGGCTCTCTTCAGACGGTAGTTTGTCTTGAGCTTCCATTATACTTATTGTTTGAGAAATTTGTGTTATTTGTTTCTCTAAGCTTTTGAGGCTAGCTTGGGTTGTTTCTTGGAAAATTTGGGTAGATGTGGCAATGCCCTTCACAATGTCCTCTAAGGACATGCTTGGAATTTCAGGTTGTTGAGGAGGTGGAGGATATGGATGTTGGAATTGTGGAGTTGGTTGGTGTTTTTCATTTCTCCAAGCTTGATATGGGCTTTGGTATTGGTTGTATCCCCAAGCTTGGTTGTTGTCCCACCATTGATCATGTTGAGGTTGATCATAAATCCATTCGTTTGACCAGTGGTAGCTTCCTTTCTCTTGCACTTCTTCCCATTCTCCTTGTGAATATGGACACATATCGGAATGATGTCCATTTTGGGCGCAATTATCGCAAAGAAGAGGCGAGGGTTGCACACTTTGGTCACTTTCAATCATCATAACTAACTGAGCTAGCTCAGAAAGTTTATCTTCAATGCAAGGAGTGTTCATTTCTGAAGCATAATTTTTTCAATTTTTTATTTTTAAACTAGAGTACCTGCACAATGAGATCTAGGCATAGAGAAACAAACTGATTAAAATAAACCAATCCCCGGCAACGGCGCCAAAATTTGGTGGTTGTCGAGGCCAACAAAATTAATAACCCTAATTATTACACACTAAAATAGTGTATAGTGGTAAAGGGATCGAATCCACGGGGATTGGTTCAATTTAATAACTCTATGAAAAATCTCTTTGTAAAAAATACTTGGAAAATGACAATAAAATAAAAATGGGGGTTTTGATATTTTTGAAATACTTAAACTAAAACTAGAATTAAACTAGAACTTAAATGAATAATTTGGCAAAAATAAGAATTTGATGTGAAATCAATAAGAGAAAGATGGTTGACTTAAGGTTTCCTCACTTTGACTTTTGATGAACATATCATTAGAATCAAATGGTGCAATACTTGTTTTAAACCCTTAATTTGGCTATAGTAATCCAAGGAGCTTGAGATTACCTAGACTTTTCTTAATTGTTGAAATGGTTAGAGAAGCTCATAACAATTTCCTTAGTTAAAGTCACTAATTCCATTAAGCATGTAATTAGTGAAAGTCAACTAGCATTAAGAACCAAAAAAGTCACCAAATCCAAGAGGGGTCAAATGCTTTCACCACCATGTTGGAGAAAATGTTTTTATGATTGTGTGAAGTAAAACTAACACAAGAATCACTTGTTGCTTGCTAATTTGAAGATCCTTTACTTAATCAAGAAATTAGCCAACTAATCACCACAAACACATTTAAACTCATGAATAAAAACATGCAAGTAATGATAAGATGTTAAAACACAAAACATTTTCATAAAGATTCAAACACAAATTCATGGATTCTTCAATATTCAACAAAAGTTCAAAGGATTCAACAAAAGTCAACCAAGATTAGTTTAGCCAAGCATGACTAAACTCAAGGAAACAAAGTTAGTTAAGATTGTACCAAACATTTAGCAAAAATTAAGAGATGAAATGGTGAAGTTCTTGAGGGTTCTTGGCCTTCAAAAATGCTCCAAACTCCAGAGAGAAAAGTATCAAAATCGGACCTCCAAGATTATGCTAAAGAGGCACACCAACCTTCCCAATATAGAGCTCTAAGTAAAATCTCGAAATTGCCCTTGTCAGGAATCCACGCGGGCCGCGGGGAATCTTACGCGGGCCGCGTGACTTCGACGGAAATTTTTGGGCTTCTTCAAGTCTTGGGCCCCCACAGCTAATCCATTGGCCCAGTTCGAATCCAATCTGCTTCTAGCCCATTTCTCTTCAATACTTCTTCAATTTGAGCCCAATTTGTCTCTCCACATCACTCAAAACTTCCGCAAACTCCCCAAACATCGATCTTGCACACTCAAGAATTCTCCCGTGTCTTTCAAATTTAAAGTTCAACACTTCCACGCCTTCAAGCATGAAATCCCCATTTCTCTTCAAGTCCAATCGCCTCCCAAAAATCCTGCTCTGCTAGCCTCCAAAAAATCTGCAATAATGCTCAAGAAACTAGAAAGTACCCGAAATGGTCATAAAAATAACAAAAAGGAAAATATGCATGGAAATTAACTAAAATGCGAATGAAATATGCTAAAATAAACTATAAAAAGAAGTAAATAAAATGAAGCTATCAAATACCTTCAACCTCAGCTACATCGGCTTCACCCGAAGTGCTAGCTTGTTTGCCATTTGCTGTCGTCTTCTCTTTTTCTTTATTCTTCAACTTGAAGCATTCTTCAAGCACATGTCCCTTCTTGTGACAATAGTTGCAAAACTTTCGTTTGCCTTTTGACTTGGATCTGGTTCTGTTGGAAGATTGAGACGTTCTACTTCTCTCTGTTGTTCTTCCTCTGGCATTCAAACCTTCGACTTTAGCATCACTTGAACCACCACCAGTAATATGCTTCATCTTCTCTTTGGAATCCAAAGCTGTATAGACTTCATCTAAAACTAGAGTGTCACGGCTATAGATAATAGTATCACGAAAATGGCTATAGGATTCTGGCAACGACGATAGTAAGAATAGAGCCAAGTCTTCATCTTCATACTGAACATCCATATTCTCTAAGTTATTTACTAACTCTTTAAATGTGGATATATGTTCAGCTAAAGAGCCTCCTTCAATCATCTTGAGATTGAACAACCGTTGCTTCAAATGTAACTTGTTTGGTAAGTTCTTGGTCATCAACAATTGCTCCAACTTTAGCCATAAAGAAGCCGCTGACGTTTCTTTTAGAACATCTTGCAAAACATCGTTTGACAAGTGCAAACGAATCTGGGATAAAGCCTTCAGATCTTTCATCTCCTTTTCTTCTTCGGTCCATGTATCGGGCATCATATTGAAACCCAAGAGCGCCTTGTGTAAATCCATCTGAATGAGAATGTCTCTCATCTTTACTTGCCACAACGGAAATCGGGTGTTACGATCCAGTAGTGGAATATCGTATTTTACCGAAGACATGATTAATTACTTGATAAAATGATCCCAACGAGCTAATATCACAACCCGGATGCTCTGATACCAATTGTTGTAAAATAAGACAGATTCAAATTGACTTAAATAATATTAGCTCAATGCGGAATGGGATCAAAAATTATCAAAGCGTAATAATCACAACGTAATACGAATAAAATAAATAGAATAAAGACACAGGAATTTACGTGGAAACCCAAATCGGGAAAAAACCACGGGCGGAGGAAGCCGAGAAACAATTCACTATAATTTGCAGTGTTTACAGGGATTATGAAAGAGATTACAAAATAGAGTGAGAGAGCTAAAATACACGGTGGTGTATCAGTATATATATGTAATGATTTTTTATATATACTTGGATGATTATGTTAAATCTCTCTGGCTCAGGCTATTTATAGCCAAAAAGAATATCATATGAAAGGAAAAAATGCCGTCCAACTTTGTGCGTCCAATTGTAGGCAATGTTAGGTAATGTTAGGCGCCTAACATTTGACCAAAAGGTTCGCCGTTCAAACATTACATTACTATTCATAGTCAAATTGTAGGCGTCCAAAATGTGCCGTCCAATTATTCAAATTCACATATATATTACTATTCATAGTCAAACTATGAATAGTAAATGATAAGTTACTGAAATAACCTCTGAACTATTTGCCACTTGCTAATTTTGGAGGCAACTTTTCCACACCATTTGACCATTTCCACAACAAAACAAACCTTTTAGACTATTGATACAACTCTAAAATTTTTTGGACAAGATGTCCAATTTTTGACATACAACAAGAAACAAACTTGCAATTTTGTAAATAATAAATTAAAATGTACCTTATTTGAATATTTGGCACCGTTTAAGTTTGGTTTTCTCCCTCAAGAGTCAAGAGAACACTCTGGTCAGGGCCCCCGGCCCCAAATGCGCAATTTGGTTTTCAACTTTTGATTTCTTTCCACACTCGACACACACACTCCGCTTTCCTTACTCCGCCGCGGCTGGTGTCGCTGCTGTCGTCATGAACTCCATACGTCGAGCTATCACTGCTGAACGAAAACGCCTCCTCACACTCTCTCCGACTTCTATTCTCCAAAAACAGCACGCTTCTTCTTCTTCTACTACTGCTAGAAGTACGTCGCGAACTCTCAACTCCTCCAAAACTAGAGCGCCGGTAGTAAGATCATCAGCGCCTCCACCACCACCACCACCTTTGGCACCCACCTCATCTTCGAATGACGCCGTTCTGAAGGAACCAGTGACCTGGGCAAAACCTAGCGAGATTCCGTGGCAAGCGAAGGTGGTTAATTCGGTGAATTTAATTGGGCGAGTTAAGATTCCTGTTCAGTTTGAAACTTCTTCTGATGGTAAAAATTGGGCCGGCACTATCATTTCTCAAGATGATGACTCTGAATCTCCTACTTCTCTACCGTCTTTCTGGTACTACTATTACCTCACCTGGTATTGATATTGGCTCGCGTATTGCTTCAAGTTGCACAGCTTTATTGTTAATGTGTTTAGTAGTCCAACTGTATAATCATTTCGTTTTTGGTGGTATTACATCCATGTTATGATCGTGATACCTTTCCTTCTCCTTATAAAGGAAAAAAAACATACTCATCAGTTCCTAAAAAGGAGATACTATTGGGTTTTATGTACCTAGGATTGATACTTTTCATTCACCTTATAATTTAGGGCTTTGATTATATTGAATTTTGAACTTATCTACTCAATTCGCACATCTTTGAGTATTCTTTTGTTAGCTCAGATTTCTTAACTTTAATATAAGATAATAACTTCATGTATGTTGTATGTTCAAAGTATGTGGATATCTTGACTATGTATAAAATTTTCATTAGGGTATATTACACTGGTGTTTGTCACTTTTATCTTGAACATTTGTATACAATTTTCTGTATCTGTTAATTCTTTGTTGTTTGCTTCTTGTTGAATATAGGATTCCAGTTATATTTGAAGGTGATCTGGCACATATTGCAATGAGCCATCTGAAAGAAAAAGATTTTGTACATGTAGCTGGTCATTTAAGTGTTGATGTTCCACCATTTAAACTAAGTGAAGTTCAAGCAAATGTCCAGGTTATGGCACACACCATTAATTTTGTTCAAAAGAAAACATCTACTTCTACACCATACAAGCTGGATAGGTGGAGCACTAAGAATTCAGGTAATCTGTTCACATAATATTCTCATTCATCATTTTCTATTTTTGCTAGAATTGATAGCCTTTGAAACTAATCTTCCACCTTTCCAATTTCCATCCTATATTTACAAATGAATTACAAGAATTCACAAATCTTTATGTACAACAGATGCAGCATTTGAACAAGAAAATGAAAGTCTGCTACTCGATGATGATGCTGAATCTCCCCAAGTCCATAATAATTCAAAAGAAGTCAAAACTTTTCATTCTGCTAAAAAGTTTGATAAACAAATCCCCCGTGGTACTTCACATATATATAAATATTTCTCACATTAATCTTTTTTTTTTTTAAAAAAACATTGCCAATTTCCATGATATCAAGAATATAAATTTCAACTCTTTTTGGCAGCTTCTTGGAGAGATCTGTTAACTAATTCCACACAATGGGATGATAACCGTGAAAAGAAACACAAGGGCTTGGTGATTATTACTTTTATAGTATATTATTAAATTTTATTATTATAATAGTTATAATAACATGCACTTTTTAAAAAAAAAAATTATATAATATGTATCCCAGGTGAAAGCCAAATACCCAGACTTCAAACACAAAGTCAGTGGTGATGGACTATGGCTTGACAATGCACCACCAGAGGTTTTACAAAGCCTTGGACACTTACACTTTAATGGTGGTGTTTCTAATCCTATTAAACCCATTTACTTTTTTAACCTAGTTTTAATACTTTCAAATTCACTTTTATATAAAGTGTAATTTAATTCTACTTATTATGGCTTCATTGTAGAGTCTGATGGTGTTCCTTATAACAAGGCTGTAAAAGGTTGCTACTTTTTTAAAATTTACTTTTTTGTAATTACTGTCATCTTCTTGCTAAATATGTTTGTTGTCGGGTTTAAATATAGATGGTGATTCTTGGAAACACTTGGTCGAAAATCCTGGTAATTGGTGGGACAATAGACTAGATAAGGTACGTCAGTCTCAGTCCAATACATGTCAAATGCAGTACACAGTACAGTCAGTTTTGTTCTGTGTTGATGAGAAATATTATATTATTGATACAGAAAAGTGAGAAGGCACCGGATTTCAAAAACAAAGATTCCGGGAAAGTGTTGTGGCTAGATAGTGCACCCGACTGGGTATTGTCGAGTTTGCCACCACTGCAACGTAAACCACTTGGTGTAGATATGAAAAAGGGATGGGGGGTTTAGTAATTTCCACCAACTAAAAAACCATATATATATATTTTTTGCATTTTCTTTCTCTTTTTAATTTTTTTTCTTTGCACTTTTAGACTTAGAGAAAAGTTGTGAATGTTTAAGGTTTTGTATGTTTTCTTGAAATGACAACAAACTAATTGCTTATGTTTTTAGAGATCATGATATCCAATGTTTTAAACCCGGGGTTGAATCGGTTGGAGCGTGAATCGATTAGTGGGTCAACACATCCAATCTGTTTAATTAAATTGGTTGTTAGGGTTAAAATTTTCAACATGTTACAACCCGCCAACTAATTTAAATATTTTTAAATTTATATTTATTTAGTATTATTATTTAATTGATTATTATATTTTGATTACTTTTAATTTCTCAAAAATATGAGTTAGTAATTTTTCGAGTTGGTGAAAGTAAAAGTTAAGTTGCATGGAATTTAAAAATTAAAATTTATAATGTTTTATGGTAGTAAACATTTAATTTGTGTTTGTGTTATGAACTTGTAGACTTATGATTGTATCATTTTTCAAATGTAAACAATTATTGGAGTTTTTAAATTTTATGTAAATTTACTTGAAAGATTATTTAATTTTTAAGAGTTTTTGGAATAATAAAATGGTCAACCCAAGTTCAACCTATTTATTAAAAATGTTCAATTCGGAAAACAATTAACCCGATTTCAATTCATTTACTAAAAAGGTTGGGTTGAGTTATAAATTTTTAATCCGTTTACATAAACAAGTTGGGTTGGATAGAAATTTTGATTCCGTTTAATTATTAAACATGTGAATCCATTTATGATTCAATCCAACTCATTGTCACCTTTATTTTGAATTAATAATTCAACTTCTATTTTTATAGAATAATCACTCATATTTGAAAGAATTTCAATAGTATATAAAGGTCATTTAGAAAATACATCCTATGCATCTTAGTTATAGAATGTATAGTAATGTAATGTCCCCTAGACCCATAAACATTGTCTTCAAAAGACTATTGGTGCAGCTTATTGTCTATTTGTCTTAATCGATATGTATTGACTTATCTATTTATATCATGGCGGAACCAGAAACTTTTGCAAGGGGTAGCACAAAAAAAAATCCCGATAAATAATAGTAAGATAATTTTTTTTAATTACGGTTTCGTTAGAAATAACAAACTAGCGCAAAAGTCTTACATAATTACATTTTTTAAAGTTGTCCTCTACGATTACCCATATTCTGAAAGCGCTATATCACTCGTTCGATCTTAACATCCATAAGTGCTTCTTTTTCTACATTACAAATTAAAGCATCATTCAAAAAATCATCACCCATTTTATTACGTAAGTCGGTCTTCAAGAGCTTCATTGCGAAAAAACATCTTTCAACGGTTGCGGTTGCGACGGGCAAAACCAAAGTCAACTTTAATAACCTATAAACCAAAGGAAAAGAAAGATGTTTACCGGTTTCCACCATCAAACGAGAAATGTCCGCAATTCCCTTCAAATTAGAAAATCTCTCATCATCAATCAAAGAGTGAAATAGGTTTCAAGTTGACCATCAAGATACACCACTTTCCGAATCATTAAAATCAGTTTTGTACAACTCACTTAGCTTCACCAACTTTGATTTGTCAAACATAGAAAATGCATTACAAGGACTTAAAGCCACCATGTATTCAAGCAAATTGGTGTTCACTTCACTAATACGGCCCCCAAATTCTTGAATTTGCATATCCAAAACCGTGTTAAAAATATCAACTTCAAAGTGATGTTGATTAGTAACCTTGGTTCTACGGTTTCTTGGAGTAACATAAAATTCAGACATTTCCACAATTTTAATTTTATGTTTATGACAAAAAGAAAATACCTTCTCCAACATTGAAGGAAACCCATTATTTCTACAAGCTTTGAACATTTTCATCGTCACTTTTACCAAAAAAGCCGCTTCCAAAATATTTTGATCCTTTTTTTGAAGATGTTTTGACAAGATATTCGTGAGACCAAAAATCTCCAACATCAAGTGTAAATAAAACACAAAATCAAGAGTATTGAAATACGACAAAATATCGTACGCTTGATTTCGATTATTTAAACTAGATCCCTCCTCTTCAACATATTTAAGAACCTTGATAACCTCCGGAAACAAATTCTTCAAACTTATTATTGTTTTATAATGTGAGCCCCATCTTGTATCCCCGACTCGAACAAGAGAAATCTTCTGATTTAACCCTCTTATGGTCTCAATTTCACCATTACCAATTTCTTTTTGAACCCTTTCCTTGTAACTATCTCATATGATATCTTTTCTTTTTACAAGAAGCACACACCACATTAACCACCAAAGCTAATTGCTCAAAGAAATCATTAGCACCATCATGGTTTTTTGCTACAGCCACAACCACTAATTGAAGTTGGTGTGCAAAACAGTATATATAATATGCCAAAAGATTATTTTTCAATATTAATGCTTTCAAACCATTAAATGCACCCCGCATATTACTTGCTCCATCGTATCCTTTCCCTCTTACCTATTTCAAAAAAAATTATATATATAAGAAATAAAATAGATAAAGATTCAAATACATACAAAAAAAAAGAATTCATAATTTCTTACCTGAGATATACTCAAGTTATTGTTGGTAAATACCGAATCGATGACTTCTTTTAGAGTTAAAGAAGTTGTATCTTTCACGTGAACAATTCCAACAAATCTTTCTTTCACTAATCCAAGACTATTAACATATCGCAAAACCATAACCATTTGTTCCTTTTTGGATACATCACTAGACTCGTCTACTAAGATAGTAAACACATCATTACCAATTTCTTCACAAATTGACTTTATTATCTCTTTTGAAAAGCATTGAACAATCTCTTTTTGAATATTTGGAGACGTCAACTTTTCATTTTTTGGAGCATTTTCTAAAGTAACATTATAAATGCTTTCATTATGGTCCCGAAGGAATGATAATTCTTCAATGAAAAAGCCTTTAGAAATTGATCCATCTAACTCGTCATGACCACGAAATGGTAACGCATTCTTCAATAAAAATCCACAAGTATCAATTGTAGCACGTAATCAAATTTGATAGTTACTCGCTTCAACTTCAGTTTGCTTATGAAAAGCTTCACTAATAGATTGGTTTTTCTTTACTAGATCTTCACATTTTTGTTTTGCTTTGTTGTGATGACTATCAACTTTACCCACATGATCTTTCAATGATTTCTTTCTACTCCAAGTGTCAACGCCTCCTGTTACAAATACATCTCTCCCCCTTGTTGCCCGACAATGTCTCCAAACAAGTAACAACATAAACAATAAGTTTGTTCTCTTTTGTGCTATTCTCTAAGTCTCTAACCAATTAAATGTTGGTGGTTTTAGTGTCACTATGTCATTTTATGTAATTGGAACTAACATGTGAGTTAAGGGGCTTTATAATTTGTACTCCAATATATGTACGGGTATGTGCGGAGTGTGCACATGTATAAGATCGAATTATAAGTCGGTTCGACGACAAGTCGGGGGTCCGGGGGCAGCGCCCCTGGGTCCGGGTTTCGAAAGGGGCAGCGCCCCTAGCGGGGTCCAAGGGGCAGAGCCCCTGGCTGGGGTCCTGAATTTTACACATGGGGACATAGTGGGAAAATCAAATTCTTGAGGGTGATTATGGTAAAATTGACGAAATTCGTCAGTTTTGGAAACCATTGATTTCCTCATTAAATTTCGGATTTCCCTGACTTGCTTCCAAAGCAACCCATGATGGCCAACCCTAAGAAGCAAACCTTAAGTCTCGTTTATTATATAAACGACTCTTCTCTTTGAGAAGGGATACACAACTGTTAGCTCTCTTTTCTTCAGACGAACATAGAATCCTTTTAGCAATTTGGCTTACGATTTATGTGCCTAGATTCGTGTAACGCCTCAAATTTCAAGACAAATGTTTCATTTTAAATTCACCAAACATTACTCATAAATTCAAGTCATCACATAAATCATAAGTTATTATCAAAACAATATCAGAGTATCCCAAATGTAACACCCCGATTCTCAGGTATTGTTTAAATAAGAATTTAATTGGTTTCAAGGCCTACTCGACGAGTTGGTTGCCCTACTCGTCGAGTAGCAGCGGGTTGGTTCGCGTATTTAGTGGCCTACTCGCCGAGTCCATAAAGGGACTCGACGAGTAGGAGCTGGCAGATGAAACCCTAAATCTCGGGGTTTTGCACCCTATTTAAAGAAACATAAGCCTCCTTTGGCCTCTTTGCAGTCCTTTGAGAGCTCAGAAAATCCTAATTCGTGTAGTGCTTCATTCTTGTGTGTTTAAAGCTTTGGAGAGGAGATCTTTTGAGAAGAAGAGCTTGGAGAACAAAAGGCTAGGAGCAAGGAAGTGTGAGAATCAGAAATCTACCTCAGATAGCATCATTTGGAGGTATCAAGTCGTCACCTTTACTTCATTTTTCTTCTAGACCTCTTTGGTTGAGATTTAGGGTTTTTATGGTTTGGTTGAGATGGTAATGTGGGATATGAGCTAGATCTGAAATTGTAACTTCAGATCTGTACCCTTCTTGGGTTCTAGAGTCATAAAGCTCCGAATATGGTCATGTATGAAGCCTCTTTGAGTATGAAACCCCCATTGTGAGCTTGGATTTGACATTAAGAGCCTTTGTAGCTATGCATGCACGTAAAGTTTGCAACTTTACGTGAAAAGCATGCCTTAGAAGCTTGGATCTGTAGTTTGGAGCCGCTGCATGGCTAAAATGAGTCTGTATGGCAAAAAGGACTGAAGGGACTCGGCGAGTCGCATGGTCGACTCGGCGAGTCATATGAAGATAGGCATGAACTCGGCGAGTTGGAAGAACAACTCGGCGAGTCCGTTGGAGATTGCCATAGACTCGACGAGTTGTATGAACAACTCGGCGAGTCGGATGAGAATTCCCCAAGTTATGTATGTGTGCATATCCGTCGAGTTGCATGAAGGAAACTCGACGAGTGGCCTTAGAGTTTCGATCGTAAACCGAAGGAACTCGACGAGTCACCCCGGTGACTCGGCGAGTGGGCAAGTACTTCAAGGAACTCGGCGAGTAGCCGAGGGT